CACTGTTGGTGGGAATGCAAACTGGTACAGCCACTATGGAAAACAGTATGGAGATTTCTCAAAAAGTTAAAAATAGAAATACCCAATGACCCAGCCATCCCATTACTGGGTATCTATCCTAAGAACCTGAAATCAGAAATCTCAGAGTCCGTTGCACCCCTATGTTCATCGCAGCATTGTTTACAATAACCAAGATGTGGAACCAGCCTACATGCCCAGAAACTGATGATTGGATAAAGAAGATGTGGTATATATACAGAATGGAATACTACTCAGCCATAAAAAAAGACAAAATTGGCCCATTCACAACAACATGGTTGGACCTCGAGGGTATTATGTTAAGCGAAATAAGCCAGTCAGAGAAAGACGAACTCTATATGACTCCACTCATAGGTGGAAATTAGTATACTGATAAGGAGATCTGATCGGTGGTTACCAGGGAAAAGGGGGGGGTGGGGGGAGGGCACAGAGGGGGAAGTGGTGTACCCACAACATGACTAACAAAAATGTACAACTGACATCTCACAAGGTTGTACTCTATCATAACATGAATAAAAAAAAAAAATCTTGTTTTTGTTCCCTTTGTTATATATTCAGATGTGGAATTGCTGAGTCATATTGTTGATCTATTTTGAATTTTTTTGTGGATTCTCCATATTTTTTTCCATAGCGGTTGGGCCGTTTTACTTTCCCGCCAACAATGTGTAAGGGTTTCCTTTTCACCATATCCTTGCCAGTGCCTGTTCTCTCATATCTTCTTGATAACCATTCTAACAGAAGTGAAGTGATATGTCATTGTGCTTTGATTTGCATTTCTCTGATGATTATGATGTTGAGCATTTTTTCATGTATCCATTGTCCATTTGATGTCCTCTTTGGCAAAATGTCTATTTAGTTCCTCTGCCCATTTTTTAATTGGATTGTTTGTTTGTTTTTATTGAGTTGACTGAGTTCTTTATATATTTTGGACATTAGCCCCTTATCCAATACATGGTTTGCAGAAATTTTCTCCCACTCTGTAGATTGTCTTTTCATTTTTTTAATTGTTTCTTTTGCTGTGCAGAAGCTTTGGATTTTGATGTAGTCTCATTTGTTGATTTTTTCTTTTGTTGTTCGTGTTTTTGACATCATGCCTTCCAAATTATTGCCAAGACCAATATCAATAAGCTTTTCCCCTATGTTTTCTTCTAGGAGTTTCATGGTATCTGGTCTTACATTTCGGTCTTTGATCCATTTCAAATTAAGTTTTCTGAGTGGTGTGAGATAGAGATTCAATTTCATTGTTGTGCCTGGGTTTCTTCAGTTTTCCTGGCACCATTTGTTGAAGAAACTATCCTTTCCACATTGGGTATTTTGGCCTTATTGTGAAACATTACAAATGCTGACCATATATGCCAGGGATAATTCTGGGCTCTCTATTCTGTTCTATTGGTTGATGTATCTATTTTTGTGCCAGTACCATCCTGTTTTTGTTACTAGAACTTTGTAGTATAGTTTGAAATCTGGATATCTGATACTTCCAGGTTTGTTCTTTTTTCTTAGGATTGCTTTGGCTATTCAGGGTCTTTTGTTGTTCCAGACAAATTTTAGGATTGTCTCTTCTATTTCTGTGAAGAATGCCTTTGCTATTTTGATGGAGATTGCATTGAATCTGTAGATGGCTTGGGTAGTAAGGTCATTTTAACAATATTAATTCTTCTGATCCATGAACATGGGATATCTTTCCATTTGTTCCCTCTTTGATTTCTTTCAGCAGTTTTGTATTCATTGTACAAATCTTTCACTTCCTTGGTTACATTTATTCCGAAGTGTTTTGTTGTTTTTGATGTTATTGTGAATCAGATTATTTTCTTTATTTCTTTTTCAGATGCTTCATCGTTAGTGTAAAGCAATGCAATTGGTTTCTGTATGTTAATTTTGTATCCTGCCACTTTACTGAAATTGTTGCTTAATCCCACAGTTTTATTTTTTTACCAATTCTTTGGGTTTTTTTAATATAGGATCATATCATTAGAAAATAATGGTAGTTTTACTTCTTCCTTTCCAATTTGGATGCCTTTTATTTCTTTGTCTTGCCTAATTGCTCTAGCTAGGCCTTCCAGTACTTCGTTGAATAGGGGTGATGAGAGTGGGCATCCTTGCCTTGTTCCTGATCTTAGAGGAAGCACTTTCAATTTCTCTCCATTGAGTATAATGTTAGTTGAGAGTTTTCAATCAAGAATTTGTGTTGAATTTTGTCAGATGTCCTATTTCTGTGTCTATGGAGCTGATCATATGAGTTTTCTCCTTTTTTTTACCTATTAATATGGTGCATTTCATTGACTGGTTTTTGAATGCTAACCCAACTATGTATTTCTGAGATTAGCCCCACTTGGATTATTCTATGTATATACATGTTCCTAGATTTAATTTGCCCATATTTTCTTCAGGATTATGGGACTTATTTTCACAAGGGGATTGTGGTCTGTAGCTTTTTCTTTTCTTGTAATATTTCCTTCTAGTATTGGCATCAGGGTAATTCTGGACTCATAAAATGAGTTGGAAAGTGCTCCCTTACTCCCTACTTTCTGAAAGAATTTGTTTAAGATTGGTATTACTCCTATTTATTTATTATTTTTATGGTGGAAGAGCACTTAACATGAGATCCACCCTTTTAAATCTATCCTCCCAGAAGTTTTATAGTTTTGCATTTTATATTTAGGTTTATGATCTATTTTTGAGTTAATTTTTTTTTGAAAAGTATACGATCAGTGCCTACAGTCATTTTCCATGTGTATGTCTAGTTGTTATTGCAAGCTTTTGTTGAAAAAGACTATCCATTCTCCATTGAATTGCATTTGCTCCATTGTCAAAGATTTCATTATCACTGTGTAGGTCTATTTCTGGGGTCTTTATTTTGTTCCAGTGATCTCTTCTTCTATTCTTTTATGAATATCACTCTGTCATTATTATAGTTTATAGTAAGTTTTGAAGTTGGCTATTGTCAGTCCTCCAATTTTTCTCCTCCTCCTCCTCCTCCCTCTCCCTTCCTCCTCCTCCATCTTTTTCCTCTCCATATAAACTTTAGAATCGGTTTGTAAATATCCACAAAATAACTTGCTGGAATTTTAATTGCAATTGCATTGAATCTCTAGATCACTTTGGAAGATGACATCTTCCTATCCATGAATGTGGAATATCTCTGCATTTATTTACATTTTCTTCGATTTCCTTCATGGAGTTTTGTAGTTTCTCTGATTCCGATCCTATAAAATTTTGTTAGAACTTTTCCCAAGTAATTCATTGTTTTCATGCTAATTTAAATAGTATTGAGCTTTTAAAATTTCAAATTGCCATTTTTCATTGTTGGTACATAGGAAAACAATTGACTTTTGTACATTAACTTTGTATCCGCATCCTTGCTATAATCACTTATTAGTTATAGGTCAGTTATTTGGTCAATTATTTTCTTTACATAGACAATTGTGTAATCTATGTGCAAAACCAGCTTTATTTCTTCCTTCTCAACTTGTATATGCTTAATTTCATTTTCTTGTCTTATTACATTAGCTAGGACTTCCAGTAAGATGTTGAAAGGAGTGGTGAGAGGGGGCATCCTTGCCTTGTTCTTGATTGTAGGGGGAAAGCTTATGGTTTCTCACCGTGAGTATGATGTTAGCTGTAGGTGTTTTCTAGATGTTCATCATCAAATTGTGGAAGTTTTCTTCTGTTCCTAGTTCCTAACATTTTGTATAATAAGCGAGTGTTTGATTTTGTCAAATGCTTTTTCTACATCAATTGTTATGATAATATGGTTTTTCTTCTTCAGCCATCAATATGATGGATTACATTAATTGATGTTTGAATGATGACCCAGCCTTGTATACTTGTGATAAATCCCACTTGGTTGTGGTCCATAGTTCTTTTTATAAACTGTTGGATTCAATTTCCTAATCTTTGTTGAGGATTTTTCATCTTTGTTTATGAGAAATATAGGTGTGTAATTTTCCTTTCTTGTAATGTCTTTCTCTGGGCTTGGTATTCAGGTTATTCTGGCCTCATAGAATGAGTTAGAAAGTGTCACACATCAAGGGTGGAAGAGTAATGTGTCTATGATTCCATGGGGTGAAGACAATAGGAGCTGTATGTATAGCGCTTCTCTTGAATTCTGTCCTAGGTATTTCTTCTCTTGGTTGATTTAATTTGTATCCTTTCCATATAATAAACATGACTGTGAGTATAACAGCTTTCAGTGAATTCTATGAATCCTTTCAGCCAATTATCAAGCCTGAGGGGATTTGGGGAATCCACTGAACTTGTGATTGGTGTAAGAAGTGAGGGAAGTCTTGGGGACATTCTCGCTAACTTTGCAGTGGCCCTAAATTCTACACACTCTTCTCCCCCCAGCTTTATTGAAACATTATTGATAAATAGAAATTACATATATTTAAGGTGTACAGTATGATGTTTTTATAGATGTATATGTTGTGAAGTGATTACCACAATCAAACCAATTAACATATCCATCACCTCACACTGTTATCTTTTTCTTGTAGTGAGAATACATCACCTATCATCTTAGAAAATTTCAAGTATATAATACAGTATTGTTAATTTTAGTCACCATGCTGTGCATTAGATTCTGAGAACTAATTCATCTTATAAATGAATGTTTGTAGCCTTTGATCAATATGTCTTCTTTCCTCCCGCCCTCCAGGACTAGTAGCCACCATTCTACTCTCTATTATTGTTATCCAATTTCTGAAAAAACTTGTGTCATATATTTTGCCCAGTGTTCTAGTTGGATAAGAGTTAGTGGGACACCAGTTACTCTGTTTCAACCCGAAGTAACAGTCCTACTTTAGTATTTTAATTCTTTAGAGATGCAAAAATCTATAAATGTTGATAGCATTCATATTCTTCCCCAAAACTCAAAAAATACACACAGTAAATAAAGCTTCTCCCAAAGTTTATATTATTGTCATGATGTATTTTTGCTTGTGCTTGCCACTCATTCATAGCAATGTGGACCTCTTACCTGTTGTGATCCTCCAACTTGTACACTGAAAGCAGGAGCACAATGTCATGAAGGATTGTGCTGCAAGAGCTGTAACGTAAGATTCAAGTTTATTAATATCTCCCCAATATGTAATGAATCATGTCTAACATACTTTAAAACACTTGGATTTAAAGCTATAAGTCAAAATAAATGACCTTTCAAATAAAGAAAAAGATACTAAATTCAGAATCAGGTTTCTTATTTTGTGAACTTTAATGGATGTTGAGGCCTCTTTATAATGCCATTATTCTCCCTAACTTGGTGCTATTGTTTTTAAGCCTTGATTGAGAGCTGCTGTAGAATTCTTCAATATAGAAGGTCTCCATTAAGAGGGACTATTTTCATTCACTCTATCCAATATTTATGTTTTATGAATAAAAATGTCATTACTGGTTGTGATAGGTATCTATAGGTATGTAATCGAAGATACTGCAGCTTCCTATAAATGTGTAAATAATGAAACTCACTAGAAGTAACACTTTCCAAATGCTACATGTTAGCACAAAATTTAAATTCTGAACGTATTATTCAAAGATCATTTGACTTAAAGATCACATTTTAGCTTATATGTTGAAGATGTTGACTCCTGTCTCTTGTTTTACTTTTCAACCCTTCCAATCTATTTGTAACAAATTCATCATATGAAAATCTCTCTATTGAACTACCTGCCCTGGGTTCTGTGTTCTTGACTGTCCTTGACTGACACAGTTTTGCATTATTTTTTTCTAGAATCTTACAATGTGGTTACATTCTTACCTCTGTGCCCTTTTTAGTGTCAACTGGAAGTCATCAATTAAGAAGTATGAGATAGATGCCCACTTGAGATTCTTTTATATAGATTTTCAGAATTCTGTATGTGGAAGTGTTAACTATAGGATAATTCAAGAGAAAAATAACAATTGAATTCCTTCCTCTGCAGACTTCTGTAGTTGAACTGCCTCTTTAATCACCCTTCAGTTTCCCTCTGTTTGTTCCATTGTTTGTGTTTCACATTTGTCATAGAATTACAAATATTCCATACTTACAAGCTGTGGTTTGAATAAGCATATTTTATTTCAAAATTGTCTAAATTACACTATCTTCACTCCCAAAAAATAATTATCCCAAGCCAAAAGTGACTTTTCCTCCCTCACACCAAAACAGAAACAAAACTTTGGCTCTCATCACATCATATTTGTGTTATACTTTTTCTTGTACATATATCTTATCTCCTGCTTTAGTTGCTAACATTCAATATTTTAAAAATATGATTAGCATAATGTTTTATGCAAAGAAGTTACTAATAGACATGAATGAATAAATAGATCAGTAAACTATAAATGGAATTAACGCAACTTTGAAATAAATATTGATAACCACAACGATCTTATATATAATGCTTTCTTTTTAATATTTTAATTCCTATTAGATTTCAGGAAGAGGTGTTCTATGTAGGCCGACAGCACATTCTGAATGTGATTTACCTGAGTATTGTGATGGAGTCTCACCACAGTGTCCACCTGATATAACTTTTCACGATGGAAAGTTATGTAAAGGAGAATATTTTTGTTATGGTGGAGAATGCCAAGATCTTGATGCACGTTGTCAGAGCCTATTTGGAGCAGGTAAAATTGTTTTGTAACATCTAAATTGTTGGTCTTCACTATTTTTATTAATGTTACTAAGACAATGGGCAATTATATACATAAAATTTAGATTCTATATTTATAAATATATATATAATTTAAATTAAATATATTTAAATTATTTATTGTGTTTAATATCTATTTTTTCAAACTTTATTAAGGTATAATTTACAAATAAAAATATATATTTAAGATATATGACTTGATATTTCAATATACATATGCATTGTGAAATAGTTGCCACAATGAAGCTGCTTGACACACCCATTACATGCATACACCCAGAAATGGAATTGCTGGATCATAAGGTAGTTCACTTTTAATTTTTGAGGGACTATACTATTTTCTATAATGGCTGTACCAATTTTCTCTGCATCCTTGCTAATACTTATCTTTTGTCTCTTTGATAATATCTACCCTAAAAGATGCGAGTTGTGGTTTTGATTTTCATTTCCCTGATGATTAGTGATTTTGAACACCTTTTCCTATATCTGATGGCCATTTGTATGTCTTCTTTTGAGAAATGGCTATTCAGGTCCTTTGCTATTTTTAAACTTCATCATTTGATTTTTCTATTGAGATGTATGAGTTATATATTTTGGAGATTAACGTCTTATGACATATATCATTTGCAAATATTTTCTTGCGTTCTATAGGTTTCCTTTACACTGTTGTTTTTTTTGGGTGTGTTCTGAGAAGTTTTTAAATTTGATTCTGTCCCACTTGTCTATTTTTGCTTTTGTTTCCTGTGCTTTTGTGTCACATCCAAAAATTATTTCCCGGAGCAATGTCCAAGAGCTTTCCCCCTATGTTTTCCTCTAGTAGTGTTACAGTTTCAGGTCTTACATGTATGTGTCCCTCCCTGGCCCCCACAAGCTTTATTGAGATACAATTGACATTGTGTTAGTTTAAGGTGTACAATGTGTTGATTTGATACTTTTATATATTAAAAAATGATTGCCACCACCGTGTTAACAAACATCTCCATTTTGTCACATAATTACCATTTCTTTTCTGTGGTGAGAACATTTAAGATCTTCTTTCTTAGCAACTTTCAAGTATATAATATAGTGTTATTAAGTATAAACATCATGCTGTACATTAGATCCCCATAACTTCATTTTATAACTGGAAATTTGTATCCCTTGACAAACATCTCACGTTTTCCATCACTTTCCAGTCTATGGTAACCACCACATACTCATTGTTTCTCTGAGTTTGGATTTTTTAGATTCCATATATAAGTGATAACATAGAGTATTTGTCCTTCACTATCTGACATTTCACTTACTGTAATGTCCACAAGTTTTATCCATATTATTGCAAATTACAAGGTATATTTCTTTCTCTTGACTGAATAATATTCCATTGAATGTTTTTACAATATATTTTTTTACCCCTTCCTTCATTGATGGACACAAGTTTCCATAGCTTACCTATTTTGAATAATGCTGCAATGAACATGGGTGTGCAGATATGTATTTTGAGATCTTGTATTCATTTCCTTTGGATATGAAGTGGATTGGCAGTGGAATTGCTGGATCATATAGTAGTTTTATTTTTAACTTTTTGAGGAACCTTCATTCTGTTATTCATAGTGGCTGCACCAATTTACATTTCCACTAATGGTACACAAGTGTTCCCCTTTCCCCAAATCCTCCCCAACATTTATTATCTCTTGGCTTTGTGATGAGAGCCATTCTAACAGGTGTGAAATGATATTGCAGTTTTGGTTTGCATTTCCTGGGCGATTAGTGATGTTGAGCTATTTTCATGTGTCTGTTGGCCATCTATGTGTCTTCTCTGGAAAAATATCTATTCAAGTTCTGTGCCCATTTTTTAAATCAGGTTGTTTGTCTTTTTGCTATTGAGTTTTATGAGCTCATTATATATTTTGGATATTAACCCCTTATTGGATATATGACTTGCAAATATCTTCTCCCATTCAATATGTTGCCATATCATTTTGTTGGTGGTTTTCTTCACTGTGAAAAAGCTTTTTGTTTGATGTACTTCTGTTTTTTTATTTTTACTTTTGTTGCCTTTGCCCGAGGAGACAGATCCATAAAAGTATTACTAAGACTAATGTCAAAGAGCTGACTGCTCATGTTTTCTTCCAGGAGTTTTATGGTTTCAGGTCTTACATTTAAGTCTTTGATCTTTTTGAGTTTATTTTTGTATATGGTGTAAGCATGTGGTCTAGTTTCATTCTTTCACAATGTAGCTGTCCAGTTTTCCTTACACCATTTATTGAAGAAACTGTCTTTTCCTCATTGTATATTCTTGCCTCCTTTGTCATAGAATAATTGACCATATAAGCATAGGTTTATTTCTGTGCTTTCTGTTCCATTGATCTATATATCTGTTTTTATGCCAGTACCATATATTTTTGATTACTATGGCTTTGTAGTACAGTTTGAAGTCAGGGAGCATGATGCCTCCAGCTTTGTTCTTCTTTCTCAAAATTGCTTTGGATACTCTGGGTCTTTTGTGCTTCCATACAAATTTTAGGATTTTTGTTTTACTTCTGTGAAAGATGCCGTTGGGCTTTTGATAGGGATTGCATTGAATCCATAGTTTGCTTTGGGTGTTATGGACATTTTAACAATATTAGTTCTTCCAATCAATGAGCATGGTACATCTTTCCACTTATTTGTGTCATCTTCAACTTCTTTCATCAATGTCTTATAGTTTTCTGAATACAGGTCTTTTACCTTCTTGGTTAAAATTTTTCCTAGGTAATTTATTCTTTTTGATGCAATTATACATGGGGTTATTTTCTTAATTTCTCTTTCTGATAATTCATTATTAGTGTTTAGAAATGCAACAGATTTCTGTATATTGATTTCATATCTTGCAACTTTACTGAATTCATTCATTACTTATAATACTTTTTTGGTGAAGTCTTTAGGATTTTCTATATGTAGTTTCATATCGCCTGTAGATAGCAACGGTTTTACTTCTTCCTTTCCAATTTGGATGCCTTTTATTTCTTTTTTTGTCTTATTGCTGTGACTAGGACTTCAAATACTATGTTGCATAAAAAGCGGCAAGAGTGGGCCTCCTGTTTTCTTCCTGATCTTAGGAAAAATACTTTCAGTTTTCCATTGTTGAGTATGATATTAGCTGTGATTTTGTCTTATATGGCTTTTATTATGTTGAGCTATGTTCCCTCCATGCCCACTTTCTTGAGAATTTTTGTCATAAATGGATATTGAATTTTATCGAATGCTTTTTCTGCATCTATTGAGATGATCATATGATTTTTATCCTTCATTTGGTTAATGTGATTTATCACATTAGACTGATTTGCAGATTTTGAACCATCCTTGCATCCCTGGGATAAATACCACTTGATTATGGTGTATGATCCTTCTAATATATTAGTAAATTGAGTTTGCTAATATTTTGTTGAGTTTGCATCTCTCTTCATCAGGGATATTGGCCTGTAATTGCCTCTTTTTGTAGCATTCTACCTGGTTTTGGTATCAGGGTAATGCTGGCCTCTTAGATTGAGTTTAGACACATTCCTTCCTCTGCAGCTTTTTGGAATAGTTCAAGAAGGATAGGTATTAACTCTTCTTTAAATGTTTGGTAGAATTCACCAGTGAAGCCGTCCTGTTCTGGACCTTGTTTGTTGATTACCAATTCATTTTTCTTACTAGTAATTGGTCTGTTCAGATTTTCTATTTCTTCTTGATTCAGTTTTGAACGATTGTATATTTCTAGGAATTTATCCATTTCTTCTGGTTTATTCAATTTGTTGGCATTTAATTGTTCCAAGTAATCTCTTATGATTCTTTGTATTTCTGGGGTGTCATTTGTAACTCTCCTCTTTCATTTCTGATTTTATTTATTTGAACGCCGTCACTTTTTTTCTTGTTGAGTCTGGCTAAAGAATTATCAGTTTTGTTTATCCTTTCAAAGGACTAGCTCTTAGTTTCATTAACCTTGTCTATTGTTTTTTCTATTTCATTTATTTCCACTCCAATCTTTATTATTTCCTTCCTTCTACTAACTTTGAGCTTTGTTCTTTTTTTAGGTCCCTTAGGTGTAACATTAGATTGAGATTTTTCTTGTTTGCTAAAGTAGGCCTATATTGTTGTAAGCATCCCTCTTAGAACTACTTTTTCTGTTTCATATAGATTTTGGAACACTGAGTTTCCATTTTCATTTGTCTAAATTTATTATTATTATTATTAATTATTATTATTAATTTTATTATTTTTGCTGAGGAAGATTTGCCCTGAGCTAACATTTATTCCAATATTCTCCATTTTCTGTGTGGGTCGCTGCCCCTACATGGCTACTGACAAGTAGTGTAGGTCATGCCTGGAACCAAACCCGGAATGCCAAAATGGAGTGCACCAAACTTAACCACTATGCCAGTGGGGCTGGCCTGCAAGGTTTTTTTTATTTCCTCTTTGAGTTTTTTCGTTGATCCATTGGTTGTTTACTAGCATATTGTTTAGCCTCCATGTATTTGTGTTTTTTCCAGTTTTCTTCTTGTAATTGGTTTGTACTTTCATACTGTTGTTGTCAGAAAATATGCTTGATATGATTTCAGTCTTTTTAGATTTATTGAGACTTGTTTTGTGGTCTAACATGTCATGTGTCCTGGAGAATGTTTCATGTGTACCTGAAAAGAATCTATATTCTGCTATTTTTCGTTGGAATTTTCTGTACATTTCTATTAAGTACCTCTGGTCTAATGTGCTGTATAAGGCCAATGTTTCCTTGTTGATTAGCATCCCATAGGTTTTGATATGTTGTGCTTTTATTTCTTTTTTTGAGGAAAATTAGCCCTAAACTAACTGCTGCCAATCCTCCTCTTTTTGCTGAGGAAGACTGGCCCTGATCTAACATCCGTGCCCAACTTCCTCTACTTTATAAGTGGGATGCCAACACAGCATGGCTTACCAAGTGGTGCCATGTCTGCACCCGGGATCCAAACCAGCAAAAGCCGGGCCCCTGAAGTG